GCGTTCCAATAAGTATTTTGCTTGTTTATTAAAGCACAGTTCTTGCCATTCTCTATTGTCTGTATACTTCTCAATGTGTCCTCTTAGTCTTTTGTTGTTGGCTGTGAAGTTGAAAAAAGTCTACTCTCGGGTTATCATCTAGAAGGAATCTGACAGTTGATGTTGCCAACTCCTTTCCTGACTGGCCAGGCATTGGCTTTTGAACGTTTTATGAAAATTTGGCTTCTCTTCGCTGTTTTAACCCATTTCATTCCCTTTTTTACAGCCCCTCCCGTTGATGAAAGTCGAGTAACCAGAACTTGAACCTTGAATAGATCTATGATTATTTCCCTGAACAATTTATTTCAAGTCATTCTATCACTTGTCGATAAGAATTATTGCCCCAAGTCAGCTGGCTCTTTCTGACTCCTGTTGCCAAACCATCGGAGTCTGCGATCTTTGCTCCTTTAGATTTCAATACTCCACTTAGGCTGGACTCGTTTCTGGATGATTATGGCTGGCTTGTGCAATTTCGTTAATACCTATACAGCAATAAAGGCTTTTTGCTCTCAGTTATTAGTTATACCTTCTATTTTTCTACGAGCGGCGGCAATGGCCAAGTGTGGACCGGGATCGAGTGTTATAATGCATAAGTAGTCTCACCTTCCATGCAATAATAATGACTTCATAACTATTCTTATACGACACTAGAGGAATGAATATTGTCCTGATTCCATAGTATGCATAATAGCTTCCAGAGTCGGACCGTAGACTTGGTACATTCCTAGACGTTTCGCCGACATCGTAGTCGACATCGTCAGTGAGCCTTGCCATACTTAGCACCACACTAGAACTCGTCAAAGAGACAAGTGAAGCCGATCCCTTGACCAATGACAGTTGTGGTATCTCTCCTTCTGTCCTTGGCTATTCACCTATCCTATATCCTCGTATCACCCCTTCAATATCCCAATTTCTTGTTTATCTAGACCTATTTGAAATCTTTTCACACTCCCCGCTGGTTTCCTCATCCCTCCCACTGTGCCGGGAGTGTTGAGCCAAGGCTGCGGTTTACTCCGCAATCCTCTGTCTTCTGGTCCTATCAGATTCCTTTCTTGCTCCATAGGCTCCTCCCCTTATTTGCCTGTTTCAGTGATTCCACCCCATCGATGCCACGTATCCGTGCTACTCAAGGCGTTGTTCTACGCTCTGCCTCAAGCCTTTGATAGCACGTATGCACCAGCCTTACTGAGCAAGCCCCTAAAGTCTGGATTCTCATTTGACATGACAACCTAACTTGACGCTACAGTTTCCCTTATTGCTGTGCGGCATGTGCACCGAGTAAATCTCGTGGTCAAGCCTTTATTTCATGGACCACGTCTATGAGCAAGCTTTTCTACCAATAGCCAACTAAAAATTGCCACCACTGTTTCTCTCGCTTTCCTATGACATTCTATTGCGTGCCAACCTCCAAATCTACTTCTACTTGATTTGAATAGGCTCACAGTAGACGTCTTCTCCTGGTTTCCAATTCTTTCTCTCTGGTCTCCCTGTAATTTCTTTTCCTAAAATCAAAAGTATTACCTTTGTCTAGTTGCGAAAATAAGGTCAAACAACTTCTATACAATGAAAGGAGATCGTGACCATACAAAAGGCTACATCGTCCTGGCCTTCATATCTTCGACTATTCTTATACAATTTAAGACATTGCTTCCCTGTGATTAACAAAACTTTATTCGATATTACTTTATTGAACTTCTACCAAAGTATATCCATGATTTACCCCTCAGTTCCTCTTCTTAGATGAACTCATTTTACTTTAAAAAAATTCAAGTACTTCTCATATAAGTGTGGCCTTATGATCGTGTCGAAGTTAAAGTTCTACCATTCGTCGTTCACTCGTAATGGAAGCCTTAGTTTCCGTAATGCCTTGAAACGAATGATGAAGGCTATAGACTAAATTTCTTCTAGAGATTTTGACTAAAATGCCTAAGAGCTTACTTGACTTCGCTTTCGCGAGTTGAGTATGGTGTCAGTGAGACTTTGGAAAACTTATTTAGTCTAGCGTCCTCTGCTATAATAATGCTACTGACAATTTGCAGCATCGGATCGTTAATTTGACACATTTCCAGAAGTTTCGCCAGCAGTATAGTCGGCATCATAATACATCGTCAATGAGGGGTGCCATCCCTATCATCGAGCTATAACTCGTAAAAACGGCAAGTTAAAGCAATCCTCTTCACGTATATATGAATAAAAGCTGGGCTTCGAAGAATTATTTAGGTAGTTGTTGTGGCTCAACTTTGCGCTTCGCAGGAGAAGTTTTTGACAGGACTTAGTCAAGTGCTCTCACTGGAAACCGAAGGATGATTGCCGCTTAGTGAGGACTGTTGGATTGCGCGAAGAAGTCCTCGACTCACCTCTCTGTGTCTCCGAGCAACCGTGATTGGTTTTCATCTGTACTGTGACAGACTTAATCAAAGCTAGAATCCATACCTTCGGAAATAGCGCACCTGTAAGTTGAACCAAGATGAAATATGACCGCCTGTAAGCCTAATCAATTTTTTCATACCCATCCTTGCGATCTTAATGAGGCATCCCATGATCTGGTTGGCTACATTTAACTTTTTCTACATGCTTATGGATGATTGAAGTTAATTCACGAACAGAAAATGGGTGTGGTGGCAACTGTTTCCTTACGAAAATAACCTCCACCTTCCAATGTTGACTAATTTTCAGGTATGCGCTATTGCCAATCGTGCGTGTATAATGTTCATATCATGAGAGGTGTGATAACCCTAGCGGGACTTGAAGCTATTCCGGCCTTCTCTAGGTCGTTGCTTCCTCCTGCTCCCTTTCCTTAAGCCTTTCCAGCAGCTATCAGTAGGTCGAACTCAATTACATACTCTCGTACCTCCTATTCAAGATGTTTATTGTTTCACTAACTTTTATAGACTCCTTTATTTTACGCCTTGATGTGAAGCCTCTGCACACCTCAAAACGTTGTTTTTATACCAGTCTACCAAATGTCTTGTGTTAGCTATGTGCTCGGCGAGTTCAGACTTTTGGACCCATAAACCTTCACAAGTATTTTTGTGTTTAGCGCTTATTCATCTTGGTTTTCATATCTATTAATTAATATTTAAGGTTACATAAGGGTTTGCTAATAAGCTGGAAGACACTTGATTCCTTGTATCGACACAACCTTAAACGAAATAGGATGAACGCAGCTATTATAAAAGTTATATATTTTTTGGTATTGCTCTTTTGTCCTTTGTTCAGTTATGCCTTTTGTGTTACGAAGCCTTCAATAGCGACAGGGTGAAAGGTTTCGTATATAGCAGAAAAGGACTAAAGAAACTGCTTATTATTCGCCTCTTCATTTCCCCCAAATACTTTTTCATCTTTCCTGTCCCAGTCGCAGCGGTGTTCATTCTCCCGCCGCCGATCGGATCGCTGGAATTGTCGGTATTGACGTTACCCAGCATTATATGAGTTTGATACTCGCCAAATGGGTACCGGAATGCAGTGACTCTTTGCGTATCATCGAACCTGAAACGGCTGACTCGTTTGAATCCGCCCAATCTGCTGATACTTGGCTGCCCCGAAGACAGACGTCTCGCCAAGCATCCATTTCCGACCTTGATCAGGTGCAATTATCTGACTCAGGTACCTTAAGATCAGCTACCACTATGGCCACCGAATCTACTGTCAACTCCATGCGTAAACTCGAGCAAGCACAATCTGAGGGACCTTCTGGTGATGATTCAGCCTTAGCTAAGGCTCCGATACTGGCTTACCCGACTACAAAAGGCTTGAGATCCGCCGAGTCTGAGAGTACAAGGTCTCTGCATGGCTTAGATTCAGCTGGGAAACTGCAACTTGAGCTGACGTTGAAAAGGATGACTGGGCGGACTAGGCTGACGCCCGAGCCTTTAAATGATGCATTTCATTCGACGCAAACATTCTCCTCTTCTGTTATGGAGGGTCGCGAACCACCATTTCACTCTTTTTCTGCCACTGATGCGACGTCATCTGCTTCCTCGGTGCGGAAGAGACGGTCTCCTTCATCACGAACTGGCGGCCAGGCACGATGTCTATTGATGCAGGACCAGGGGTATTTGGTGGCTCATCCTGACTTGGTGGATGCGAGATGGCCGGTTAACCGGCCAATCGAAGCTAACCACATCATGTATCTGTATGTATCTAGGCCGAAAGTCATCTTTACTACAGGATATACTTTTTTTCGCTATGCTCATTTCCATATGATCGTAAATTATTAACATTGCAATTGAACGTACATTTAAAAAATAGTTTCTCCACTTTTACTAAAATCCGGTTAAAAAGTTATTTTTGCTGGATAAGCATTGAACAAATATTTTATTTCAGCTGATTTAGCATTTTTAGACTAATTTTTATTTCGTGTGAAAGTTTACGATAAACACAGTCGGAGGTTGATTTCACCAGAATACGACGCTTTTGTCTACCTTAATTTGACTTTATTGGGAATTTTAGACTCACGCAGTGCTTTTGAAGGGTATGCAAGCGTTCAAAGGGTGAGCCAACAATCCTTTCAGCCTGTTCCAAAGATTTGCAGATTCCATGGTTTTAAAACTCGATAACTCCTTGCTGAGCTCCGTATGTTTTATAAGATATCACCTGAGCAGGTAGTTATTCTTCATCGAAACTTCAAGAACAATGCCATCAACAAGAATGTCTGCTAGAGAACAGACAAAATCTCGGCACATTCAATTGTTTCGCAGGACATTGCGCTGAGGCTCAATACTTCAAAATCTAAAATTTGTTTAGATTGATTTACATTCAGAACTGAGCATTTAGTTACCCCTAAAAATGAACTCTTACCATGACCCACTAGCCTAACGTGGTAAAAATTAAAGAATTTGGTCATTTTGGGATATCTTTAAACTCTTATTTAATGACTTTCTGCTAACTCTTCATACCTCTACTTTCTTTCCTATCCCATCTTCTTATGGGTATCTTCGTCACTTTTTCTGGGTATAAGAACGAAGATGATGTGATCTACTTCGTTACATCTTTTCAGTTTAGACCCGCAAGCAGAATCGGCCGTTACATCAAAGGCATATTTAAAAAAATTAATTTAGGTAAAATCGGAATTTCATTTTAGTCTTTGCTACTTGGTGATTTTTTTGGATTTTGCATTGATGTGATAAGACCTTATTACTGACTAGTGAATTATCGATTCCCATGATATACAATTTCCCTTTATCAACTCTCATGAAAGCTCCTGCCAACTTTTGATGATTGTTTTTGCCGAGATGCATTTGAAAGTTAGACTTGACTAAAGGAGACAGTATGCTACAAGAGTAGGCCGCTTGGTGCACAGTCAGATACAGGACTAATTTTTTCCCGAATCTCGATTACACTTTTGGGTATTTTTTTAACTCGGCCGTTTCGCCAGCTGCATGTTATAATCTGTTTGCATTTTTTTTATTCAGGGAACCACTTGTAGGCAAGGATATCCTTTCGCATACTCACCATATCCGCAAAGTGGCGTGTGTCGACTTTGTGCGCCGTATTACTCAGCGGTTTTACATATTCAATGTATCCAATGAAGAACTGATTAAGAACTCAGCACTCAGAGAGCAATGTGTTAGATATCAGGTTCGTTTCAGAATATTAATTTAAATTTTACTTACCCTTGTATATTGTATATGAACATATAATCGGAGTAAGACACTGGCGATTGAGCATCTAATATAAGACTTTTATTTATGTTTATTTGAGAGTATGAATATTTTTGTATATACACTTTTCTTCTATTATGATATTCTCGTTTATGGTTTACTCATGAACCTTTTCTTCTTACCGAATTGCATTTGGTTATTTCCTTAAACTCTCTTTTGCTATCAGCTTAAGGCTGTGCCCGGTTCGACCGCATTCTTTGGGATCATTCACGAAGCCAGACGTCCCGATTGCAGTCCGTTCACTGCTTTCTGCTCATGCTCCACTTGGAACCGCTCCTGCCTCAACTGTGGCCAGCCACTTGAGCCGCTTGAGTGCGAGTGCCCCTGCGAATGTCCTGTTGGCCTCGGGCTTGGACTATTATCTTCACACAAAGAGGATGAGTCGATTTTTGCTAGCCGCCCCAGTGACCACACTGAAGCAATGATAAAAGTGTCTCCTACCCTGATCGATATTGGGGCTTATGATTCCTCGCCCTCGCTACCAGCGATTCCAATTTTGCGGTCGTCCTCATTACAGGGTTTTGCTGATCCACCCATTTGCCTGCATGCCCTTGTAAGTTGGTGTAATATCCTACAAAACTTTATTATTTGCATGAACTGATGCTTTTTGGCCTTTAAATACCAAATAATTGTGAGACTGATAATTTGCATTAATGTGGTTTTGCTATATTTAATAAGGGTTCTACTAAAGTTTATTTGATTAAATAATCATCGGGTCGTCTCTGCCGAAAATGGTACTCGTTAGAAAAATCGATGTGGTTTTTATGGTTAGTCTATTTGATCCATATGTGCGTCTTATATACGAATAAAATGCGTGTTTCGAAGAATCTCGAGCGAAGACGGGCTGACCTTTCGTCCGTCATTTGATGAAGATCATCATTCTTGCAAAAGCCTCAAGTTACTGCTAAGTCAAGAAGACTTATTTAAATGATATATATACTCACTGCGAGAAAAAAAAGTTAGATACAGAAAGGTTGGGTTAATTCACTTATATTTGAATATGTCTGTGTGTGTATGTATGTTAACGTCTGTGCGCAAAACAGGCTATAACTCAGAGTAATTATTTATGGCCGGTTTTGCGCGTAGACGTTAACATACATACGCACACAGACACATTCTGGTTTACGAGAATTTGCAAAACCTTTCTATACCCATCTATATTTTAATCTTTCTCGCAATGAGTAAATATATCATATATAGAATAAAGCCGGTCAGTCTTTTTGACTTATTGTTAACTTGAGGCTTTTGTAAGAATGAGTCACAGCTTTGAGGATGTTGATCACATGACGAACGAAAGCTCATCCCGTCTTCGCACGAAACGGTGGAGGATGCCTTATGGACTTCATCAACCTGAACGTGGTATTAACGCCAAACGACTGCAGTACAGCATAAATGAGCCAACGTCTTCTGGTGAGATTGACCTACGAAGCTCTTCATTATGCATGAAATGAAAGTCTTAACAAAAATAGTCTACTTGAGTTTAAGGCTCTGATTGTTGAATCAATGTGAACATTACCTATCCTCGTGAACCCCACTCTATCAATTTGGTGACTACGAGGAAGAGTCATTCTTTAACCGTTCTCCTGTATTTCTGGTCCACTTATCTTTCTTACATGAAATAAGTGCAACACAAATGGCTTATCTTAAGGAATTTATCGGGATCTAGCCTCTCAGCCTCCCTAGATGCGGTTCCTAGCTCCATTGGCCTAATAATCAACTATAATTTTTCGGTCAAAATATTATTCTTTCTCGAGTAGATAAAGAC